TATGTATTAGTCTATGATACACGGACAATGACACGGGACACGACACGCCAACACGTTAATTTTAAAAAATGGCATATTTCGATACGTTGGGACACGTTTTGATATTAAATAATATTTTTAATATATATAATATAATTTATATTTAATAGTTATAATAGTCCATAATAAGTCATATAACCAATTAAATATTCAAATTTCATAACATAAATAAAAACAAAAATAATTTTTCGTATCTTGTTAATTTTTTATGTCAAATTTCATAACAGAAAAAAATTGATTTATCAATGATTTTTTTATTTTTAGTTAATAACATAAAATTAAGACTAAAAAAAAGAGAAAAAAAACGTGTCCGAGCGTTGACCACGTGTCCGAACAAGTTGACTGCGTGTCAGAAAAACGTATCAGAGAGTTGGCCACATGTCCTAAAATGTTAACCACATGTCGGAGCGTGTCCGACACGTAATTTTTTTTTCAAATCACGTGTCGGTGCTTGTTAGGTATTAGTTATACCATTAATTCCATTATTTCGGGGAGTCTAACAATTAAGATCGGAAATTGATCAATTACGTTATTTATCTCATTGTTCACCTTTGTATGATTATGATTCCCCTTAGTTAGAATCCATTAAGATCTGTTTCACCCTTATTTATAATTAATTAAGATTGATTTAATTTGTTTTCTTATTTTTTCTCACATATAATACTTTCACTTGCCAAAACGATGTAATTTTTATGAACTCTTATATATATGTGTGTGTGTGGGTTAAGATCATTTTACACCAGTGTAAGTTATACTCTCAATCTTATCCGTTGATTCCATTTATATCTAACGACTCAAATTTTTCAGTGATGTGAGCCATTGGATACAAGTGGATCAACAGTCAAGATTGAGTGTAATACTTCTAACTCTTACACTAGTGTAAAAATATCCTGCCCTTATATACACACACACACACACACATATATATATAGAGAGAGAAGGATCTTTTGACACTAAATCCTAACCGTTGATTTCTGTCAATCTAGTGATTATAATTCCTGGATCACATTTATTAATTAATTAATAATTCCTATTAATTATAACCGTTAAATTGGCAAAATTCTACAGTTAGGATTTGATGTCAAAGGATCCTGCCTATGTGTGTGTGTGGGCTAAACATTTCTACACCCGCTTTAGATAAAGTTATCAATAACTACCCAAAACTACTTCATTTTGATTAATGAATGGTGTTTTCATAATTTTGTTTATTTTTTTGTCATATACATTTTACCGAAACACTCTTTTATTAATTCATCTAAAATTACAGAAACACCCTTCGTTAATCAAAACAAAGAGTATGAATTGTTTTTTCTTATATATATATATATATGGAAAAAGTGTGTGTTATTTTAAATGACACAACCTTATGTCATTCTAAAAGAAAGATAGACATAAAGAGGTGAGACCCATTTATCTTTCTTGTCTTTTATTTTTTCAGTGGGACTTACTCCTTTTTGTGTCTATCTCTCGTGACCTAAGTTTGGGACTCACACATCTTTGTCGTTTGTTTATTTATTTTTTTATATTAATTGATTTTCCTTTTCTCTCTTCATTTATCATCATTGATGCATTTTTGTACGATTATTATTTAGTGGCTGGAGATAAAGTTATCTCAAGTGATTTGAGAAATAATAAGCCTGATACATATATATATATATATATATATATATATATATATATATATATATATATATATATATTTTATGAGACAGGATCATTTGACACCGGTGTCAAAAAAAAGTTTGACACCTCATCTGAGAGCCGTTAGATTAAAAAAATCAACGATTCTGATTTGTAAGCATGTGAACACCATTGATTTTTTTTAATCTAACGGCTCTCAGATGAGGTGTCAAACTTTTCCTTTGACACCGTTGTCAAAGGATCCTGCCTCTATATTTATATATATATAAAAACCTCACACGCACTAGCCATATGATTTAGTGGCCAGAGATAAAATTATCTCAAACAACTTAAGAAACGATAAGCTTATATATATATATATATATATATATATATATATATATAAAAGTATAAAACTTCATTTATTCTGGTGTGGATGGCAATAGGACTATTTACGAGCGTTGTTTCTATCTACTATTATCTAAAAATAACCAAGTTATTAATGACCGGGCGAAACCAAGAAATAACTTTTCACGTGCGAAATTATAGAAGGTCCCCTTTAAGATCAAACAATTCCATCGAATTGAGTATGATTGTATGTGTGATAGAATCTACTATACCAGGAATATCAATGAACCCTATATATATATATATATATATATATATATATATATATATATATATATGGAAAAATCTTTTCTTATGCTGCTGGAATTCTCTTCTCTTATGTCACCCACACAATTTTATATTGGGTCCCACCATTTTACTTAAAAAACATAAAGAAAAAAACTAATGTGAGACAACAGGAGATGATTTCTCTCCGATAACAAGACAAAATCATCTTCCTATATATATATATATATATATATATATATATATATATATATATATATATATATATATATATGTTTTGTACTTCTGTTTTGGTAAATTGATTTTATACTTATTTACAAATACATATTTTATAAACATATGCTATTAAATACATGTCACCATTATTAAGTTAATCCAAGACACATGCAATAAGCCAATAGATTCAATACTAAACACAGAATGTATCTCACATAATTATATAAATGCAAGTATAATACAATACCATAAGTAAAACTAATAATTAGCATTTGTTAATGGCTTGATTTAAAAAAAAATTAAAAGTTCAGTTCTTAACTATGTTAAATTTTTAATATAATCTAGATTAAAAGAACATATTTTATAATTAAAAATAAATGGACATTTTATATTGAAAATAAAACAAAACATATTTTATAGTTAAAATTGCCATCCCTAGTTTCCCCAACGTCATTTTTTTTTTTATCTTTCTCTATTTTTAGGACTCAACTTGAGCAGAACTCATTGCTACTTAAATCAATAATTTTTGGTAATAAGGTTTTAAATTAGATTGTCGTGAATGACAAAAAGTTCAAAAAGTAAGCGTTGAAAATTTTTTGTTCCTTAAGTTGATGTATCCATCGAACTCAACTCAAGATTAAGGGCTCGTTTGGTGAACATGATAGAATAAGGGTATAATATGATAGGAGTAGAAGATGATATGAGATTGATAAGCCTGTATCATGTCCTGTGTTTGATGAATACTTGATTAGCAACATTACAAGATTATGTAGAAGAAGAAAAGAGAAAGAAAAAACAAAATATAATGCAATAAATAAAATATATTGGATAGCGTGAGATATATTGGGTAGCGTGAGGATATATTGGGTATCCAATATTGATATCTATCTTGTTTAATTCTAACACAATATAAGATAAGAAATCACGTATTGGATAGGATAAAATGAGACAATAAGATAAGTTAATCATATCCTATTGACCTACCAAACAAGAGATAAAAGTAGGATATGATGAGTTATCCTATTCTATCTTCTTTATCAAATGCTCCAAACAAGCCCTAAGAGTCTAAACAGCAGGAGCTATTCAAAAAAAAAAAAAAAAAAGAGTGTGGGGGAAGAGGGTGTTGATATTTCAGAAAATCATTTTAAATCTTTGTCCACTACTAAATAGAGAAAAGTGTGTTAAAAAAAGATGTGGATTTCACTAAAAAAATATAAAGACAAAAAATAAAATAAAGGTGGATATGAAACTCACACCTTTTTTTTGTAGACAAAAGGGCTAAAAGCCCAAACTCACATATTTGTATATCTATTTCTCTGTTAAAATATTTAATTTTGTATCGTTTAAAAGAATAGATACTTTTTCCTAATAAATAATCAAATTTACATAAACTCATTACGCACTTAAACACAGCACACTGCACATTAATAAACTTCAACATAGCCTCTTATATTACACAGCCATATAAAGAATAAGTTCATACACTGCGCATTACGTGCTCCATCATTCTAAATTTTATAACTTCAAGCTATGAAATACTAAAATATAAACCACACATATCTGCGCAACACAAAATTGAAAGTCTGGTGTATAAGAAAATTTAAACTTAAAACTCCAATAAAAGACTTGAGATGCCACTAATCTGATGGCTATTATAAAACCAATATGTACGGTAAGAAATATTTTAGCTTTTAGGAGATCCTGGTCCACGTGGAATCGGGGACATTTATCTGTCCCTATTCAGAAAGGGATCCTACAAGTGTTTTTACTATTAAAAATGTAAAAGTTTACGTTTTTACAATAAAGATTATGTATTAAAACGTAAATAAAAATCCTCTTAAATAAAAGTTGGTAAAAATTTCGTGTAAAAATAATAAAAATACAAATTTTTACATTTTTATTAAAATAAAAAAATTGAATCGGGTCTTATACAAAAACAAAAAATTGAATCAGATCAACTTTTAACCCATAACTCAATTTTCTTTTTTTTTTCTTTTTTTTTTATTTTAAAAACCATATTTTCATTTCTCCCAAATCACTGTTGCAAAGAAAGAATAGAGACCGGTGAAAATTTTGAGTATTAAGCTGAGGTGAATTTTAAATCAAACTTGTTACAGGAACAAGAGAAGAGGACATTAATGACATGCAATTGATGCAAAATAATAAATTTTATTCTTTTGATATTTTAAAACTTGTTGTAGGAGTTGTTAAACTCTTTTTTTTATATTTTTCAACTTATGTCTTATATATTATGTGATTTGTATCTTTTAAATATGAAATTGTTCATTAAATTTTGAGCAGCAACTTATGTAATATTTCTTTTATATATATATAATATAATTTTGTATCTTAACCTTAACTAGTAGAAACTTAAACTTTAGGTAGAAACTCAGATTTTAATACTACAACTACAACTCCAATCCAATTAAATCAGAATATGCAAATTAAGGTAGAAACTACTTTGCAAGACTGAAGTAAGAAAATTACCAGAACAAGAATCATAACCCTGTTACCAAAAAGAGAGGTCCAAACATAAAGGTCTTTCAAGCCAAGTATCAGGTAGATCTGATCGCAAGAAACAAATAAAGAATATGGGTGGATTAACGTTCAGTGACAAACATTTACCCACACAAACATTCACCACGCAACCCATACCCATTGTTGCATTATGGCTCCCTATAGACGTCAGCACTACAAGTGCTACACCAGAAATACATGGAATTTAACAATGACATGAAACGCGCCAATCCAATCCCACACATCCAATCTCATACAAAAATAAAAATATATATTATATATATCGACAGTATTTGATGAATCCGGAGATAATTGAATCAAACTGTGCAGACGATGCAGAATCCAAAGAGAAGGTGAAACTTCGATTTATTTGCTTCAACTTTCTGGTGCAGCAGGAGCAGGAGTCTTCAGAAGTGGTTGGAGTGCTTTGACTACGATGCTCATATTTGGCCTAAACTCAGCCTCATACTGTACACATAGTGCTGCAACAGCTGCAAGCTGCATAGTGCAAGGTCAATGATAAGCATTGTTAGCGTCAACTTCAATAAGGAGACCCAAGCCCCATGATTTTTATTAATGTATCAAAATGATGAGAGAGATACCTTAGCAACTCCTTTAGGGGGATATTCTCCCTTCAGTTTTGGGTCTACGCATTGTTTCACTTTATCTTCACTTAATCTTGGGGTAGCCTACAAAAGATATCTATGTCAACAAAATATCTAAAGCATACCATCATTGGTAAATGATTCAAATTGGGGGAGATGAGGTATGATTTTAAGCAGATGCACTGACCCATGTGACAAGACTTTGCTGTCCTCGAGGCATGGTATGATCAACAGGTTTTCTTCCTGTAAGAAGCTCAAGAAGAACAACACCAAAACTGTAGACATCACTTTTTTGAGTCAACTGGCCAGTCATTGCATATCTGTAAAGTTTGGCAACACAACCGAAGCTAAGAACCAATAAAACTAAATAAAATCACAAAGGAAGCAAAAAGAGTTGAGATGAGAAAATAAATAAATTAAAAATGGAAAAACAAAACTAAGCAGGGCAAAGGGACTAATTATGTTTTCAAAAAAGCTTCTAATGAACCCGCATACCTCAGTAAACGAGTGGACCGTAGAGCATAACACCTAAATGTCATGAACCACAAAAACAGTAGCAACTATAAAGAAAACACTTCTTATTCAACCAAATGTTGAGTTAGATTGCTCGGGCATTCATCAGATTTTAATATAGTGACATATACCACTCAGAAACATCATACGCATGAACATGCAAGCTAAAATAACTGACTATAAAGAAAGTCCTTCCTAGAGTAAATTTAATCTAGATAGATATAAAAGATGTATTGTTTTATATTTCCTGTTTATCGATTTAACTTCCAATAAGTTTTAAGCCAATCACGGGACTACAGGGAAAACAAACGAAGACAAGACCACATCAAAAGCCAGTAACGGTACTACAAGCCTCATTTGCTCTTCATGACAATTATTTACCAGTCAAGAGTGCCGCTCAATCATTAAGTATAACTGAAAGATTATATATTTGAATTGAATTTACATGCATTAAATCCAAGAGAAGTTTGTGAGGGAAACATGCTCACACAATATATTCATAAAAGGCATCTAAAGATGAGAATAGAAGTGATTCAAGGTCATGTGCTACTTAAAAACCATCAGCGATAAATCATTAATTGCACCAGTATGGTAAAGATAACACAGGCAGCAATAGAAGTCCAGAAAACATTAAAAAAAAAAGTTTTTTTTTGCAAGATAAGATAGCATATACATCTATGAATTAAAAGAAAAGAGAGAGAGAGAGTGAGAGAGAACATATAGATATATAAAATAAAAGCTAGCAGGCCCTGGAAGCTTACTCTGGAGCATGGTACCCAAAAGTTCCCAACACTCGGGTAGAATGAAGGCGTGCAGCCATGTCAGGGGCCTGATTAGAAAGGTTAAAATCAGCTATCTTAGCCTTGTAATCTTCAAAGATGAGCACATTACTTGATCTGATATCCCTGTGGATAATAGGTGGTTGAACTTTCTCATGTAAATATTCTAATCCCCTTGCAGCGTCAACTGCAATTCTAACTCGCTGTATCCAATCAAGAGTTGGCCCTGGTTGTGCCCCTTGAACTCCCTTTCTACCTGTAATAGAAAGACAACCAAAATCATCAATGGAACTTCTTAGATATGAAATATAAGGTAAAACAGGAGATGAAGCTACATACCATGCAATATGTCATGAAGAGAACCCATAGTTGCAAACTCATATGCAAGCACACGAAGATTTCCTTCAACACAGTAACCATGCAACTCAACAAAATTATCATTCTTCAATCTTGAGACCATGGAAACCTGAAATAGCAAACACTGAATGAGTAGGCTAATAAACTGACAATAACCATCATACAGAAACCAACATACTTGCAATGTACAAATTATAATAGTTGTTTGGTTGTTAGCAGACACATGCCTGGGTCAGAAACTCATTATTTGTTTCAGGTTCAGATGAAACATCAAGCTTTTTCACAGCCACAGCTTTCCCATTGTTTAAGGTTGCATAATACACCCTTCCGTATGATCCTTCACCAATCAATGCCTTTGATCCAAAGTTGTCAGTCTTTTCCTTCAGCTCATCTAAAGATAATGCTGGAACTTCAATAGGTGGTGGTGCTTTTTGTGTTTCAGGCTTGACAGGAGCTGACACCTTTGAGCCTTTTTGGTTGCCTAAAGCAAATAAAATGACACATGAGGAATCTTTACAAGATAAGGAGTTAGCCATCTGACATGCTGAACTATGAGGACAGTAAAAACTTACTCGAGATTGTTTAAGTGTCCAAACATAAATCTATATATATGTGTGTGTGTGTGTGCGCGCCAAGCGCACGCACGCAGGGGCGTGTAGGAGATAAAATGTTCAAGTGACCAGCTTAAAGAAAGAAACATAAGACATTCCCGAGTAGGAAATTGAATCCCTTACAATTAACTATTCTGTTGATATTCTTCGCTGTGTATCTATGCTTCTATCCCAAGTAGTAAACATAGATGAAAGAAATAACTCAATGGATTAAATTAAGAAACTCACCATCTCCATAGTTTCTTGGGCTTTTCAGGTGCTCATTTTCATTTGATGGGTAAGACTCTTCCACCTGACAAGTGCAACAAAGCCACCGACGCATTCTGGTCCTCTTCCTCAAGTATAAATCGTCTTTGTAAGGAGGATTCTCCAGGCGGACAAAGTAACCAGGAGGAGAAGCATGTGACTACATAATGTCACAAGAAGCATAAATATCCAAAAATATGATGCAATAGGTGGGAAAACAAACAGTATAGAAACCCTTCAAATAGATATACACTGAACATATCTCTGGTATAAATAAAAGTATCAATTATGAGCTCATTGCCAGTTACTTGATCATAATTACTTCATATAGATTGATAATTGATGATAAAAAAAGATCGGATACTAAAATTATAAATTCTAACGAAGATCAGGCCATAATGATTACACACAATGCTCAAGAACTAGATGCTTGATAGAAATAGAGCGAGGCATTTTGGCTATCACCTTCATCTCATAATCATTATGTTGTTGAAAAACATCATAATCCTTTCTAATTATGAATGTCATCTATCACAGATTTACCGGACTTGTTTAAAATTTCAGTATTTGAAAATTTAGGAGGGAATTACCCCAAAAGGATCACTCGAAAAGAAACGTTAAATAGAGGGTGATCAAATATTTATCAGCTTACAAAGGAAAACAAGGCCAAAATCCTTCATCGAACCAATCGATGGAACAATTAAAGAGATAGGAAATGTGATGGAATAAAAATAGAAGAATAATCAAATAAAACAATGAATTCCGGCCCGCATGAACCTCGGAGAACAAATTGCAGAGGCAAAAAAACAAAATGAATTCTTACCAAATGACCAGGACGATGGTGAAAGTCTTTGCGGTCCATCAAAAGAGAAAAAAAAATCTCAAAAAGAAAATATACACGAATCCAGAAAAAGAATAGCGCAATTAAAGCGAATTCGGATTCGAAAAAATATAGAACACCCAAAGAAGCCAAAAAAATGGAGAGGCAAAAAAGCGAAAACAAAGAAAATGGAAAAGGAAAAGAAAGAAATAAGGGAAGGGGAAATGACAGATAGGTTAACCAAAATTAGACAAAGGAACGGAAGAGAAGCAAAATTAGGAATGAGAGAGAGAGAGAGAGAGAGAGAGAGAGAGAGAGATCACCTTTTAGTTTTAGATGGTTTGTATGCGATGATGCTATGTTAGGGTTTGTTTTGTTTATGCAAACGAATGAATGATATATATCCTTACAGTTACAGGTACAGCCAGGCCCAGCTGATAATATATATCCAGACAAGCAACGCGGCCAAAACACCCTCCTTTTATTCTATTATACTCTAACACCAAAATCACTTTTCCCTTTTATAACTAATCAATTTTTATCATAATTTCTTTTTTTTTTTATTTTGAATATTTAAGAACAGTGGCCAAAGTGTTATTCTTGGCAAAAAAAACAAAAACATAAAAATGTCACACCAACCAACAGTAAATTTTGTCAAAATGCCACGTGACATATTTCGCTACGCTGTGTAGCGAAATATGTGTACAAATAGTTCGCTACACGGTGTAGCGAAATATGCCATGTCAGAACCAAAAATGACACGTGTCAAACAGTGTCTGACACGTGACATTTTTGGTTCTGCGCATTCTGACGCGGCATACTTCGCTACACCGTGTAGCGAATTATTTGCACACATATTTCGCTACACAGTGTAGCGAAATATATCACGTGTCATTTTGACAAAATTTACTATTCGCGTGACATTTTGATTTATTTTTTTGTCAAGAGTAACAAAATGGTCGCAGTTCCGAATATTTACTTATATTTGCCGTTCAAATTCAAACAGCGCTAACTTATTTAGTGCATCGTTGGGATTTACTTATTTTTTTAGTTTTTATTTTTAAATGTGATTTCAGTTGGAAAACAAAAAAATTATCGTAATATAAGTTAAATTAAATTTAAATTTACACTATTATGCAATAGAAACAACAACTTATTCGATTAAAACTTTTTTAATGTTAATGAAAAGACACATCAGATACTGAATTAATTAAGATTAAAAGTTAATACTGATAATAATAATAATAATAATAATAATAATAATAATAATAACTCTGTATTTTTATATTTAAAAATGAAATAAACAAAAAATATTCGTTTTTGGATACTTTGCATTTCTTTGCTTGGCAGGAAAGGAAGGAGGGGCGATGATGGGAGAAGGTATCTGAGGCCAACTGTGACACTACTCATTCTTTTTGGGATTGGGATTGGAATTGGGACCCTTTCCTTTCTGCGTTGGCCGGTTTCTTCTGAAGACTGCTTCTAATCTCCCAAGCTTTTAGGACCGCAAAGAATAAGATTTAAGAGGTACCTGTGCTCCCTATTTATTATTATTTTTTCAAATATATTTAGTTTTTAATATTAGTGTCAACCATTATAATCACCGGCATAAAGAATTTGAAGCATATGCCTTTGACTTTATTATATTGAAGAAGAATATTTTCAACCAAAAATTGATTCTCAGTGCTGCAAAAACAATAGGAAGTAACTAAACTGCACCATATGCAACCTTCACATCTCCCTTTTTTTTCTTTTTCTTTTTTTTGTAATAATCTCCCTTTTTTTTCGAGTACGACGAAACAATAGAATGATAAAGTTAACATAGCTTACGATGCTCTAACTCTATCATACTGTCCGAGACAAATTTTTCAATAATTAATTAAAAAAATAGGTGAGTTCAGAGCAGGTCCCTCATGATTTATTCAGGTGAGATCATTTTATATATATATATATATATATATATATATATATATATATAGTGAGAATTGAACATATATATATATATATATATATATATATATATATATATATATATATATATATAAAAGTGAGAATTGAACATGTAACCTAATACAACCTACCTAAATCCTCACAATTAGATCAATTATAGTGGCTTTGGCGAGATAAACTTTTTGTTTTACTAGCTTGATAAGATAATACAACTTTTTGTTTTTAAGGTACAAGGAAAATAAAACAGAAGGACAACTAAAAACTACAGACACATCATGGGTGATCCAAAAACCCATTTACATCTCTAAGTACTAGAGCAGCACACCCCTATGGAGGGTCATTAAAGGTCTTCATCTTCTAATCAATTGAATCTGCGTTGGTAGCCAACCAATCAGCAACGAAATTACATTTCTCTATTTATGCGTTATCTGAATTTGACATGATCTCTGAACAAAATCACATATTCTTTGAACCGGGTAGTGGAGAGTAAGAATGCTGCAAGTTGCACTCATGGTTTATAAGATCAGTATTTAGTACTCGTGAGTCAGTTTCCAGCCAGATTCATAAAAAGCCCTTGCTCCAAGCTAACTGCAGGCCTAAAAAGCTATCCCATAATTCTGCTGAAAGTGCGTTTCCCCTACCCCCTTATTATAAGATAATACAACTCCAAGAAGGCATTATCAGCATGATTTGAACGATTGAAACATCTTATTAGAATCGATTTGAATGTCCATAAATCGGTGATGTTTTAAATAAAGATCAAAATATCTAACCCTGACTTGATATTATATATATTACAGAAAAACAATGACACGACTATTACACAACATAGCATAGTTTGCGTAGCGTTCAACACCATAAAAGGTCCAGCAGGCGCGATTAGACTAACAAAAACTGGTGTGGATACCTGCAGTTCAAAAACAATCTATACGAAGGGCAGTTCATAATCTCACTATTCACTTTATTGAATTGCAGGTTTAAAAAATATATTTTTCCAATAATTAAAAACATATCTCACACAGTTTTAAAATCACTGCAAGATTATCTAGAACTGAAAAAAAAAAAAAAAAAAAAAAACATTTTGGAAAGTTCTACAGTTGGTTAAACAAAAAATAGCATACCAAGAAAAGGGCCCTAACTTGCCATCTCTAGTTTAAATCTTGGGCAACTCCTACATGGTATTTTATTACTGATTTACTTTGACCCAAGTCAGCAAAGTACTTAAAATAATCTAAATAGATCATGAAGGCGATCAGCATCCTGAGACACAACGGAACAACAAGGATCAATATCAACATCACTTTTATCCCAAAAGAGTGGACAACAGAAATCGCAGGACATTATCAATTTAATCCAAATTTATGCTTATGCTTAGACTCGTTAAATAATTGATGCTACAGCAATGCCAAAATTACTAGCTTGCAATGTGGTCAAAACTGAAACGAGTGGAAAAAAATCCTGATCTTGAAGCTCAAGAAATCACAACTGTGCTAATTCAGCCTCTGCTTGCTCTTGCTCTTTCTCATCTTAGCCTTAAATCTTGACTTTGCCATCAGAGTCTGTACTGTATTTACAAAGTTCCCAACAGCCATTGAGACTAACAGGACACCACAAAATATCACCTGCCCGAAGAGTTTCTATCATTATACGGCTAATCTATGCAACAAAGTATCACTGTATTCATTTTCTTCTGTTCTAGTCAATTGATGTACAAAATGAAGTAAAATAGCAAACACAAGCAAACTAGTACCTGCCACTCAGAAACAACCCCAACAAATGCAGTCTTGAGCAATAATAGTCCTATATATGCCTCAAATCCCTGAAACAAGATAGCAGCACCAATATACTTCATGAATGTCCAACCTCTACTACATTCAGGTCAATGATTTCCAAATGTGAATAAAGCAGATAATTCCATTTTTAAAGAAATTTGAAAATTAACACTAAAGAACATACAATGCCAGAGCAATAAATTAACACTATTTGTTTCTTAACTAATCAACTGTCATCACACAACACAGGAAGCAAAATATTTGAAGTTAGGAAAGACAAATCACAAATATAACAGGAACAATAATATCAAACGAGAATTATTATCTAGCTCATAGTAACACCTATAAACTCAAGTAACATATGTCATAAGTAGCCATGTAGTTACCTGCAATACGAAAAGTATGGGACACAACAACCACAGTTGGCCATCCACGCCAGCCGTTTCCCCCCACACAACGTCCATCCTCTTAGCCTAAAATTCCGAGAAAAACGAGGATCAAAACTATGTATCTATTTTTCAGTCCATATGCTTTGAGAGACTTCACCATAAAATTAAAGCTACAAGGGAAAAAGAAAATTGTAATCATGATTGCAAACAATTTTTGTAAAGTTGTGACTACACTTAAATAACACCAAATAGTGAATCAAAGAGGTTGAAGGGACTAGGCACAATGATAGAAAGTTTGTGAGGAGCAAAATATAACTAAAATAGAAACAAAGGAAAAAGCAAGTAAAAAATATACTATGCAACAGTGGCACCTTTCCCAACGCGATACGAGTATAAAGTCTTTGGCGTTGATATCTATTTTGCAACAGCATTGCAACTCCTTGCATCATAGCCCACTGTAGGAAAAGTTGCACACCTCTCTGCATGCATTTTGAGACATCAATGATAGGTATATAACATCATTAAAAAAGGAAGAAAATACAATATGCACAGGGCTAGGAAACTTACCTGCTTATTCGCACAGTCTGGTTGTCCTTTAATTTCCCAAGTGAGACTAATGAGAGCCATTAACATAGCACAATAATGATGATATATCCACCTGTACGGTATAGTAAGTTTATTTGCCAAGATTTTGTCCCATGTAAAAAAATCTCTGCTCTCCCCCCAGTCCCAATACGCTATGCAAGGATGACAATGTTAGCAGGCCAACTAAATAAAATTCTAGTCCTCCCCATGTTCTCAATCTAATGCAGGACAAAGGGGTGTCGATTAAAATTCTTTTTTTGGATGAGAAAAGAAATTATCAAGAGACGGAAGATATCCTCTTCACAGAAAACATCAAAGAAAGAACATAAGCTCAAAAGAGTGAACTAATCGCTTTGTAAAATAGACACAGCAATCCACTAAAAAACCCATCGGCTGAAGCCCACAAATAGGCTAAGAAACAAGCTTGTACTACAAAAAATGAGAAAGAATAAATCACAGCAAATCTGGCATTTGACTCCATCCAAATGAACCAAACAAGAAGAAGAAAAACAGTTCCAAAACACAATATTCTCCTCACCACCAAAAACTCAAAAGCGGCTAGAGGAAAGACCTTAAAGTTAGTTGGACATGCCCAAATGCTCTACAAACATTCCAAACAACTTACTCTATTGTCAAGTCACCTAGACGGCTATTAACATGAGAGCTTTTATAACAATAAAATTTTAACAAAAAGACTTTCTAATGCCTACGCATGTGTATCAAACAATTAGAGTTAAAGATAGTAAGTATCACACAATCCAAACAAAATCATCGATGTAGTGGTAGCTTCAGCCATGATAATGAAACTGCGGCATCAGGATAGTTTTGAAGAAGGTTTCACAATAAGAAAATGATCAAATAAAGAAAAGAAAAAAACAGGTAAATTTTTTTTGAAGGGTCTTAACTCTGAACACAAGCATAAGAAGCATTAAAATAATAAAAGGAATTGAGAATGCTTAATGAAGATACAAAATCACAGGTTTTCCGTTTGGTAAGGTTCCAAAAAAAGTGGAAATTCCCAAAAGATGGCAATCTTCAGTAGGAAAAATAAAATGAAACATAAAGCATGTAAGCTAAGATAAAAGCAGGCGAAAAGAACCAAAAAAGAATCCCCAACCAAGGTTCTCTTAGAAATGAAAATGGAACCATAGCCCCTTCCAAAGAAAGCAAAGAAGAGAAAGAGGGTAAAGCAATAAACTCCAGGCACTAAATGAGTAGCAGAAACCCCAAACTTAACATCCACAGCCATGCTAATGGAACCATATTTACTTTTGATCATCACAACTACTTTGCCACTAGGACAACGTTTATAGCACAATATTCCTGAAGCCTAATCCTAATTCTGTCATAGGCTTACGCCTTAGACACACATCCCAACTAATTAAATAATGTCTCCCTGTATCATTCACACCACAGCACACTCGAGCTGTAGAGTTTGAAAGTTTGAAGAATCAATAAATGAGTTTTACAGTTTTTGCTCATGTGATTAAAGAACAATAGAGCAGTGAGATCAGAGCCAAGAACCTATTATCCATTAACAATGTACGATCCATAGGATCATTATTTAAAAAAGAAAATAAAAACAATTTAATATCACAAAGCCTCAATATAACAAATGGTTTAATGTCTATACCATGGACGAATATCACTTCCATTGACTCTCAATATGTTCTCTCGTAATGCCAAACCGGTGTAAAGAAATAGCAGCCAGGCCTGACAAATGATCATAATGACAGATTGCAAACAAATATTTTATCATGTAAGGCAAGTAAATTAGAATACAACATCAAACAAGGGGGATTTAAAATATTTACCTGGTAAATCTGAACAGGAAAAGCTGGCAAGCATCCAGCCCAAACCCAAGATCTTAGAATAAGCAGCATTGCTGGAAAAAGCAGGAATAGTAGGGCAGTTCTATCCTGAACAAAAAGGAGTCGTCATTTTCATAAAAAGTTTCACAAACCTTTTTTTTTCTCACATGTGTGTGTAGTTTCACAAACTACTTAATTTAATATCAACTATGTTATTAGCATGCAAAGAGGGCAAACCTGATGTAGTGCTAAAGTTGTTCCCTTATGATTGAAAAGTCCCATGTTCGAATCTAGGAAATAACATTTTTACCAAATAGCAAGGGTAAGACAGTATATGGGGATTTTCTTCATCTCTACCCCTCGCAAGTTGGGGCTTCGTGGGGAGTTTTTTTTTTTTTTTTTGTTATTTGCATGCAACAAGTTTTTTTCTTTTTCTAGTGGACATTTCAATATGCACAAACTCTGCAAGGACAAAAATATTCTCTTTAAGGCTATTTCCTGGATTCAAACCCATGACCCAATTTCACCACTGCACTAGGCTTGCCCTCTTTGGGAAAACATCTACAATATTAAATAAATCTTTTATTTCAAAAGTTGCTTACATTTAGATGAATCTTTATGGGCTTGTTAGATTTTGTCACTATATGAATAAGTTTAATTTTTTGTTACAACGTAAGAGAAATCAGTTATGTTCTAGTCATAAAGAAACACAAATGCATAATCCTAGCTATTTAATTACTTTGGAATACAGAGTACAGCTATTAAATAGTGCATCAACATTCAATAAGATGGAGATTATTAAGTATTGCTTAATTTTAAGCCCTTTATTTAGCAACTAAAGGCAACTTCGATGAGATGATAACATGAACAGCCATCAGAAAGGGGTGCAGTGAAGAGAGAAAGAGAAGGAGAGAGAGAGAGAGAGAGAGAGGGGGGGGGGGGGGGGGGTATATATATATATATATACCCTGTAACTGTTGTATTCCTCTTTGACCTTGAGCTGGACATCCTTCCTCGAGGCACGCACGTTAATAGGACCAAGAAACATCCTCAGAAAGCGTCCTAAATTGATAGGTTAGATTAATAAGCAAAGTAAAGTAAAAAAGAATGTGAATTAAGAGGATGCGGTGATGAAATAACCTTGAGCATGGCCAGGAAGGAGAAAAGAAGCGTCACCATCAACGATGATGCATCTCGCTCGTTGCAAATCTTCATCCAACTGTAATTGTAATTGTAATTGTAATAAAACAAAACATTAGGAAACAGAAATTACAACAAAAAAGGAAGGAATTGAATTGAGGGATAGAGATAGAGAAGGAGAAGGAGAACCTTATCAGCTAAGTTGGAGGGAATAAGCTTATTGGAGAGGAGAGAATCGAGGGATGAACGGAGGGAATGGATTTTGGAATCGAGGAGAAGGGCACGCTGTCGAAGTGGTTGCTCATCGCTTGTGGTCTTTGAGATGTGAGCTGAAACACAATCCTGAAGGTCCTTTGCTTCTTCAATCACGCTCGCCACCGACTCCTCTATCTTCTCTGCTTCTGTTGATTCCATTCCCCTTTCCCCTTTTTCCCTTTCTCCTTTCCCTTCCTCTTCCTCTTTCTCTTTCCCTTCTTTGTCGTCTTTGTATTGTATGTGAACTCTCTCTCTCTCACACACACACACTCACACACGCAACGAATAACACAAATCTAGTTTAACTTTTTGCTTTTAATTCACAACTGCGACTCACTACTCATACCAAACAAATCGAGTCATTTTAGTTTTTTTTTAAATAAAATGAAATGAAATCGAGCCATTTCAGTTTTTTTTTTAAATAAAATTTTCCATCAATATAGTTTTTTATTAATAAGGTAGCACGTATGGATCCAAAAATTCGTACCTATTTCTAGTTAAGAATAAGGAAAATTATTATCCATTTTATATGAGTGAGTTATTTTATGTTATTCTAATATCAAAAATAATGTCATCATTTTTGTTCTATTTTCTTTTTCTTTAATAAATTGTGAACCCTATCACATTATATTTTTATAATTGGAGATACTTATCTCCAATAATATAAAAAAATTTAACCCCTAAAAATAATATATCTATTGATTTAAATACGATTAGTGATCTCTCCATCTCATTTTACATCAGAGCGAGAATGATATAGATTTGATGTCATTTCATTCTACCTCACCTAACGGGCTAACATCATGCAATTGTATACCTTATTTTCAATTTAATTATTAAGAAATGGTTCGTTTTTTAAAAATTATTTTAGATAATTTTATATAATGTTTACTGAAATGATATTGTTTTAGGGCTAAAATCATGGTTTATTTGTAATTTAATTTATTTCACAGTTATAATAATTTTTATCATTATAATTTTTTAATTTTTTAACCCCATTTCAGTGAACATTGAACAAAATTATCTAAATTAATATTACATATTTTTCTCCCATTAAGAAAATCAGTTATGTTGATTATATTTACTAGTTCAATACTTATTTAAGATGATTAGTTATTGGTTATGATGTACCGACACTGACATGGGACACGCGATACGACATGACACGATACGCTGACACGTAAATTCTAAAAAATGTCATATTCCGACACGTTGGAACATGTTTTGATATTAAATAATATTTTTAATATATATAATATAATTTATATTTAATACATATAACAGCCCATAACAAGTCATATAACCAATCAAATTTTTAAATTCTATAACATAAATATAAACAAAAATAATTTTTCCTACCTTGTTAATTTTTCATGTCAAATTTCATAATAAAAAAAATTGATTTAGAAATTATTTTTTCATATTTAGTTAATAAAATAAAATTTAGCTATAAAAAAAATGTGTCGGAGCGTTGACCGCGTGTCGGAAAAGATTGACTGCATGTTGAAAAAACGTTTCGGAACATTGACCGCGTGTCGGAACGTGTCGGACAAGTGTCCGACACGTCTTTTTTTCAAAATTATGTGTGTCGGTGCATACTTGGTCATTGGGTTCGCTTTTTCTGTAATCAATGCAGATAAGTTGTCTGCAGTAAGTCCAATACGACGTTGTTTTGGACGGAAATCATTATATTTTTATAATTTTAATTTATTTCAGGATTATTATAGTCTTTATAATTATAATTTTTTAATTTTTCAATCTCAAAATGATATCGTTTTGATAGTCAGTAACTGCAGAAATATTTTTCTGTTAGTTATTTATATAAATTTATTTTAAAATAATCATCAGTGCGAGGTGGGATTGAGCTTGCGTGAATTTTGAAAATTTTCTTACAAGATAAGTACGGATTTTAATCTCCGAAAAAACAACCTATGGTCAATTTCGATGAAAATTTGTTTCCACCAGAAACATTGCCAAATCTATATTTGAGTTATGTTGTGAAGTTTATCCAGTTACACAGAGTATCTTTTTGTATATTTTCTGCTTCTCTATGTTACATTACATACATGTACATGTTATGTTTTAATTGATTCGATACATTATTCCAAAGGTACCTTTATTTTTTTAGCATAATCAATTTTGAAAGTCTCAATATGATTTCTTGTGTTTGTGTTTAAATTAATTTATTTTATATTTACAAAAGCAAATAAAAAATTATGTGAAACAATTTTTTTAGGTTAAAAAGCTGTTTTAGAAAAATCAATCACGTACTAATTCGCTTAACTTACTCAGAAGGGGAAATGGGAGAAAAAGTCCAGGGAATCTCTTTTTCTTTTTTCTCTATTACTGGGAAAAAGTCTACTGAATCACTTAATTATGACTATTTCAGCAAAAAAAAAAAAAAAAAAAAAAAAATTATGAGATTTCTCCCCTGAATTTCTTGTTTGGTTGGAACTTGTTAAATGTGTTATGTCGATCAATAAACAAAATATACTTTGGTTCGCATTTGTAAAATAAGCTACCGTGGAGCGAGACTGTGCCTTTTAAATTTACTTTATGTGGGGAATTAGAGTTGGCTTCCATTTCTTTAGATCTATAACAAAAGAGGAGAATGATTCACATGCAACCAGGGGCGGAGCTATTTAGGATTAGGGGAATTGGTGTGAGGAGGGGGCCGAAAAACCAGAGAGCTTTGTTCTTTTTGTGAGTTTTGGGCGCATGAACAAGTTTCCTTATTCTCAGCTTGTTGAAATAGCACAGGCATGTGAAGATTTCGGTCATTATTTCATCTCGGTGGTTATGAAAAATGAAGAAAATTGAAGATGGGGTGATTTTCTAAAAGAATTTGAGAAGAGAGTGAAAGCCAGCAATAAAGGTTATCTAATATGGGGTTGGGCTCCGCAGCTTCTTATATTGGAGAATCGTGTCATTGGAGGATTGGTGATTTATTGTGATTGGAGAAGATGACCAAATTTGGGTTCATATTTATTTGATGTGGATCACTTGATTGATTTTCAATTCTTTTATGAAGTTGTCCTAAATTTGAATAATATCTTATGTGCACTAAACTTTTCCATAGATTTTTGTACCTTTGATATATGTAGCTAATTTAAGACATTCTTTGCTCGTAATTAAAAAAAATTAAAATACATATCCTATAATTTTTATCTGATTACATATATGATAGATCATATTGATTGCAACCTTTATTGGCGCTTTGGTCACATGATCAACCAATCAAATAAAACCAATTCATCTATTATATGATAACAAAATTTCAAATTTAGAAATAAATCCTTAAGGGATAAAGCAGTGTTTAAATCGTTAGTGTCATAGATTAGTTTTAACTTTATTAATTTAAAAAACTGAGGATGTAATGATGCATGAGGACTATAATAAGTAATAATACTGCTTCCATAAAAATTTAGTTTTTTGGTGGCTCGTGGTAATTCCAACGAATTGATGCAACTCCCGGTAAATAAAAGTTTTAATTTTGCCATGATAAGAGAAGTAACATGTGTGAACTCAACCAAAAAGCCCGAACTTCATGAAATTAAGCTAGAAAAGTGAGTGTAAAAGACTAACCTAGAAACAAACTAAGTCAGGCATCAACTTATTAACCATTGAATACTACTTACTATTTTTTCTCTTCAAATTTTAGGGGGCGGGGCCCACCCCCCTCGAGTCTGACTTTAGTTAAGGGAGACCCTCGCCCCCTCCTAAAATTTTAGAAACCAAAACAGTTAATATTGTCATAAGATAAATAACTGTATCAGTGCAATACAACTCATAAGTTATAGAATATACTTTCAATTTTCTAGCTAAATCAAAGTAACCAAAATCTGGAATCGAAAGCAAATTGTCACAATGTTTACCGTAATAACACAAATGACCATAAGCACAACAAATACAAGTGATATTATTTGTTATTGTATTTTAATGCAATATTGCAATGTGCAGTGACAACATATATGTACATAACTAATTGTTTTTATATTAAATAACAACATATTTGAGGTTCCATTTTACCATAACATTTTCTTAATGTAATCCAACTTTATTCAAATCAATATTTTGTTCTTTGTTTTTAAAATAAAATCCAGCCTATACTAACAAAATAATCGTTGACTTAGATTAACAATTTTTTTCCCATCAATTCAACTACACCGACAACCCTCATAGATGATCCTTTCCATTTTCCAGCAAAAATCAGAGAGGAAAAAAAGTAATATTCTTTGTTTTACTAACATAAGTGATACAATATAAATAACCACATTTTTTCAAGTAATATTCTTTATTTTATTAACATAGCAGATTATAGTTCCCCCCACTCACTCTTCTCCAAAAATACCAATTAGTTAAGAGACTTGATTCATTCATAAAAAAAGATACAGGCAATAATAAGTAAATATCAATATCTGCACATTATACAAGCAATAATAAGCTAATATCAATATTCTTTATTTTTCACCCATGGAAGAGGAGAAACAGGTACTCTATAATCCTGTAATCAACTCTTAGTTTATTTATGTCTATTCTCTTTTGGAATGTTAGAGGAGCTACAAGTAGGGAGTTAAGTAGGTGCCTTAATAATCTAATGAGGCAATATAATATTTCTTGTGTGGTTCTTTTGGAACCTAGAACCAATAGTTCTATTGGTTTAAATATCATGAAGAAATGTGGATTTGATAGCAAATGTGTGGAAGAAGCTCAGTGATTTAGTGGGGGTATTTGGATCATGTGGGCATCATCTAAAATCAAAGTGGATCTAATTGCTCAAACGGATCAGTGGATTCATACTAGAATGACTCTGAATAATGGAAAAAAAAATTATGTACTGTCATGTATGCTAGCCCAAGAGAAGCTCAAAGGCAAAACTTATAGAATGATTTGAAAGTAATGAGTAGAGAGGGATTTAAGCCATGGATAGTTGGTGGAGATTTCAATGAAATTGCTGTCTTAGGGGAAAAAAAAGGTGGATCACCTCCAAGTTATTCAAAATGTCAGTAGTTTAAGGATATTCTAGTAGATTGTCAGCTGAATGATATGGGCTTTTCAGGATCAAAATTTACCTGGCAATGTCCAAAATGGGGGCATCTTGATAGAATCTATAAAAGGCTGGACAGAATTGTGACCAATAGCTCTTGGAGAATTGATTTTGAGGATGCTACAGTAGCTCATCTCCCCAGAACTCAATCGGATCATAATCCTTTGCTGCTTAAATTATTTGGTAACAGTAAGCAGAAAGGGAAAAGACCTTTTAGGTTT